AAGCGGGAGGACTCTGGGCGCAGGCTGTGGGGTGTGTGTGTGTGCCCATAACAAATTGTGTCGTTTCCCTTTTTTTCGATTGTTGATTTTTTCTCTGTGCGCACACACACACACACGCAGAGCCTGGGGACTAAGCATTTGTAATGCAATCAGACTCGTTCTCATTCACACTTTTCATGCATGTAAACTGTAGCGCCGCAAACTGGCGACATGCGCCCACTTGAAACTGAGAGATATGGCATCCAGATACGAGTTCACTTTCAATTGGCTATGGCGACTCTGCGCCCAAACAACTCACTGTTCACATACACCGGATCACCCTAGATATCCCACACGCGTCACTCTGAACACTCACACATACACACACACTTCACACTAAACTACAGCTATGCAGCTATGGCTGCCTCTACCCTATCGCTATGCTACGCTCCTTCTCTCTCGCCCACTTCAGCTCTAGGCTCCCTGCAGACCTCCTTGCACAAGTCGCTGTGGCAGCGCTTCCGCATGGCTCACGCACGAATGAATGAATGGCTGGGCGCTGCCTCTTGATTTATACTTCTGAAACTCGGTGGTCTGCCCCTTTCCATCGGCCCATGGTGCTCACAGTCCCTCGAGGTACTTGCTGGACCGGACTGGGACTGACTGGACCTTACCGCTGACTGATTGTGGACTCATTGCTAATATACCGTAGTCGTACTGCGATTGCACTGCAGTTTAGTCCACGACTTGACTCACCACTTGCCCACTTGCCCACTTGCTGACCTTCTAGAAGGACTACAGCTAGGCTTCTGGAACTCGCTAAGACTCCTACTCTATAGATCTACAGATCGAACCCCTGCTTCCTTTGGGACCCTATGACAGACTACTGACTGTTACAAATACACAGGTCACAGGTTCAACTCCTGGGGTCTACACAGGTATTGTACACAGCTATGGCAAGGTCTAGGGATCGAACCTTGGGACCTGCGTCTGCTACTGCTAAGAGGTGAAAACCGTTTCACTCCCACGGTCCTAAATTCGAGGTCCTCCGAGAATATTTCAGTCCAAGGCAGGACCTTTACCCTTCCTATCACGCTCATAGGCTCTGACTATGTCGGGAGCTGTTTCTAGAAGTTCTGTCCTTGTAAACCAGTGATCGTCTTCCGGTTCCTGATAATCAAACCGGACCTTATACTGTTTCTGGGGACGACCTTTACCTCCTGTTCTAAACACATCCTCATCTACAATGTCGTGAATGTCATAACTTCCGTCCATATCTGGGGGGATCATGGATCTTCTTGAAGGGAACTGTTGACTTGTGACACATGACAACAACTTTGAAGCATGGAAAACAGGGTATGTGTGGCATACTGTGCAGCCACACGGGCCCTGCAGGGCCCGTCCCGGACCTCCAGCCTGTTTCCCTACAGGGAAACTTCCAGGCTCTTGCCTGGAAGCTTCCTTCTGACAGGGCCTACAGGCCCCAGCCTGTTTCCCTACAGGGAAACTTCCGGGCTCTTGCCTGGAAGCTTCCTTCTGACAAGGCCTACAGGCCCCAGCCTGTTTCCCTACAGGGAAACTTCAGGGAACTTCCAGGCTCTTGCCTGGAAGCTTCCGTAGGGTCTAGGCCAGGGAGGCATTGGCACGGCCAGCCTCCTGCACGGGCCAGCACTATAAAGGACTGGCCCGCCCTGCAGGAGGTAGTAGTCAGTAGGCACTTGTAGTCTTCAGGATTTCGGCCGCAGCACTCAGGAGGAGCGCTGCAGTAGTCTTCAGCGCTAGGCAGTAGTGATAGCGCTAGGAGTAGTCTTCGGCGCTGGGCGCCATAGCCATAGTGGTCGTCTTCAGCGCTGGGCGCTATAGGGCAGGGTAGCAGTATCGGAGAGAGACACTGGCGGAGGCCAGTGGTACTTACCTGTGGCACCATCGCTCCAGCTCCATCCTCAGTGTACCTGCATCAAGACGCCAGTTTTACAGGTTAGTATTGGACTGAGAGAGAGAGAGAGACCTTCTTCTTCCTCTTCTAAGTCCACCATC